AATCGATTTTCCTTTTTTTTTGTTTACTAGCTATTGACCAGCGAGTGATATAGATTAAAAAAAAAATTAAAATTGGAAACAGTAAATTCTTCTTATATTAAGGTAAAATAAATAGGGAATATGCGTATTTTTTTATTTTTTATACAGTAGCTTACATCGTTATATAATAAAAAAAAAATATCCAGCTCCAAAAAACTAAAATTTAGTTTTTTTTAAATATTATACAGATACGGATACTTTAAACACCTACCATTTCACCACCAACCAACAGTCACCAAACAACAGTGCTCTATTATAATTAATAAACTTTGACGTCACATTCGGTCTAACCAATGGCGTCGCGCTTTAACTACTTTGAATTTCTCACCTATTTTTGCACTTTTCATAATAATTATTTTCTTAATAAAAAGGACATTACTTTAAAAAGTAATGATATACGCTTAATTCAAAAGCAATAAAGATTAAAAAAAATATTCACAATATAATAAAGCTAAAGAGTTTGTTTGAGCGCGCTAACCCTAGTATTCGGATTTAACAAATCGATTTTGCATTTCATAGCCTTTTTCGCCTACAAATAAAACATACGCCCACGAAAAATATGTAATGCACCTGATACTCTTACAATTTTATTACATACGTTACGTACTAGTTATTGTACTGTGTACACGTGCGCGCTCTCGTCATAATTCGTCGGCTTACTATTACAAGATTCTATGTTAATTTTAATGAAGTTTAGTAATTTTTACATAGAACTTCGTTATTTTGTTATCGTAAAAAACAACAACATAGAACTATGTAAAATTGAATATTTTGTAGTTATAGTGCCGCTATCTAGTGGTTTGTTTTTGCAAAACTGTAGCTAATGACACAGAACCTTGTAGCATTAATAACTAAATAAGTACTAAAATTGTAACGTAGAACCTTGTAATAGTGAGCCAACGAATTTATGTCGACATATAATTATAATTCATTAATCTCTTGCGCTTTTCTGCTTCGTTACATGAAAATCTTTTTTAATTCCTTAGATAGACTGGAAGAGTTTTAGATTTCTTTGAGGAAAACTTATATCTAACATTATGCTACGTATACACATATTAATATACTAAATCTAGTATGAGAAAAAAGGCTATGTGAGTCAGACCATTTCTTTAATTCAGTTGTTCCAAACATGTTGAAGTTGCTAGTTGTGCTGACTGTAGCAGTTTGCGTGGCGCACGCGGCGCTCCTGAGAGACACATTACAGCCGAAAACTGAGGAGGAATTTGATAAAAATCCTCTGATTAATTTCATTTGAAGACACGTTTGGCTCAGTTTGTAGTGAGCCTACTTGCTGTATCAGCGGTCGCGGGTTCGAGTCCCGCCGGGGACATTCATTTGTGAGATGAGCATGAATGTTTGTACTCAAGTCATGGGTGTTTATATTTATAATATGTATGTATGTATTTAAAGTTATATATGTGTAGTGTATCAACTATCTGGCATCCATAACACAAGCCTCGTACCTGCCATGGAAATAGATGGTGCTGTGTGTTAATGCCCCAACATATTTATTATTATTATTATTATTTATTATATATATATATATATATATATATTATATATATATATATATATATATATATATATATATATATATATATATATATATATATATATATATATATATATATATATATATGTATATGTATGTGTATATATATATGTAATTAAAAGGGAAATGCTGTCGTAAGAGCGCATCACTTGAGAACGGCTGAACAAATTTGTTTTTTTTTATATACTAGCGACTCACCCTCGGGTTCGTCCCTAGCTTGCTTCCCAATACAAACTTTCATACCCATGTTCACCCCCTTAAAGGATGACTTTCCCTTAAGGTGTGCAATAAAGGATATTATTATTATTACTATTTCCGGGATAAAAAGTATTATATGTCCTTCCCAGGGTTTCAAACTATCTTCTTACCAAATTTCATCTAAATCGGTTTAGTAGATCCAGAGATTACCACCTACAACCTCACAAACTCACAAACTTTAGTTATTTATAATATTAGTATAGATAATGGTACGAAATACGAATAACGTTCTAGGATAAAAATACAAAAAAATGAAAAATTATAGGTAGATTATGAAATTTTTGAAAGCACACCAGACCATTTCTATTAATTTTACAGAAAATCAAGAAGGATGTTATATTGGGGAACTGAACAAAGAGATAATGTTCGGAGAATCAATGCAATCTAACATGGAATGTAAAGAATACATATGTGAAGAAACACTAGTCATGCAGCCACGTATGCTATAACCTTAAATATTTTCTTAATATCAATAATATCCTCGTTGTTTTCCAAAAGATAACTAATAATTGACAGTAGCAATCTGTCACATTTATTCAGCTGCTAATTAAATTAATTAATTCGCTAGCCAGAACTAGTATTTAAGTACGGTCTATACTATTACTGTATCTGTGGGCTAACCACAGATCAAATAATAGTTTATAATAATTAATAACAGTTCTAATTATTTGATCTACCATAATAATAATAGTAGGTATACGGTAACGAACTTCCTCGGTGGTGTAGTGGCTAGCATGTACGGCTGCACACCCGGAGGTCCTGGGTTCGAGTCCCAGGTCGAGTCAAGTTTGGTTATTGAGTCTTTCTCTATTGTAAGCCTCAGTAACAGCCCGGAGTTGGGAAGTTGGCGGTGTTTCACCCCCCGTGCCTCAGTGAGCACGTAACTCCTTACGCCTTACGCCTTAACTCTCACTGGTCGTGTCGAGCAGTCGTCCCACCAGAGTATGAGAATAACAGAAATAGAGAGTGCACTTGTATCTGCGTGTACACTTGTGCACAGTTGGCTAGTCTCAATGAGATTGGCCGCCGTGGCAGGAATCGGTCAGGAGGACATATATATGATTAATGTGTGTAATTATTATTACATTCATTAATATTTTTATGTAACCGTAAAAACTTTCAAATAGGTTAATATTACAACAATATTACAGGTGCAACGCCATAGGAATTCGACCTGGCTGCACCGAAGTGGTCAACCCACGCCTACCATTCCCAGACTGCTGCCCAAGGGAAAGCTGTCCATAAAACTTTAATAATACGAGACGAATAATGGAAATATAATAATAAAATATTACTTACATTAAATTGTTTGTTTCTTTCTGTCAATATTTAGTAACTAGTTTATTTCGCATCCACAAAACTTTATTATGTTTTTAGAAGAAAGCTCACAGAAGAAGGAATTTTAACTGTACTTTTGAAATTACTCGACTGATTAAAGGATTAAGTTATAATAATAAATTAAGACAGACATAAATTAAGACAAGACAGGGATACGGATAGAAGGACGAACACGTGATCGCTGTACTATTAAGGCCGGTTTAGACTAAGACACTATACATGGTACATCAAGTGTTATTTTTATTTATTACTAAATACGTGTGAATGCGAGTGTCGAATGTCAAGTGTGAATTTCACTACTCGAGACACTCGCGTCCACAGAGACACTCGGTGTATACACAGAGTGTACTGTGTATACTGTATAGTATCTTTATCTAAGCCGGCCTTTACTCTATTCCATATACCTACATCTAATAATAGCTTTTTTAGATTATATGAACTCATGTAAATAAATCCATGTTGACTGCAGCTAAATATTAACACGAAGTAGTAGATGTAAGTAGGTAATATGTATTCTCCTGATATAAATGAATCTCAAGGTCAATCATCAAATGTCATGTTGAAGTTTGTGGTTCCAATCAATTAATTCTTGTTTGAGGATAAATAATATTAAAATGTTTTACAATCTCATCATTACCTTAGAACATATACCTACTCACTTATCCATACATATAATAAAATTGTAACTAAGCCGAATCTGTACATTAAATATTTTTTGGAAATGCCTGTCTGTATGCCTACCGTGTGTATGTATATGTTACCGCATCACAGAAAAACCACTGGAGGGATTTTGATGAAGTTTGGTTTGGTGATAGCTGGTTATCCGGGTCAACATATAGGATACTTTTTACCCTGGGAAAATATGTTGTTTCTGAGAAAAAATACAAAAACTGCAATGTAAGAGTATACTAATAAGTATAGTATTATATAATCTGTGCTAATATGTAAAACCTAAGAATTTAGTTTTTGGTCATCTAAACGCGGGCGGACCCGCGGGCAATGCTAGTACATATAATAAAATTGTAACTAAGCCGAATCTGTATATTAAATATTTTTTTGGAAAATCTTATTGAAATAAACATTATTATCGATACAGATGCCGAATCTATAGTTTTTAATTTTTTGTCTGTTTGTCTGTCTGTCTGTTGTCTGTTACCGCATCACAGAAAAACCACTGGAGGGATTTTGATGAAATTTTGTATGGTAATAGCTGGTTATCCGGGTCAACATATAGGATACTTTTTACCGCGGGAAAATATCTCATTTCTAAGAAAAAATACAAAAACTGCAATGTAAGAGTATACTGATATGCAAAACCTAAGAATTCTGTTTTTTGTCATCTGAACACGTAGTCGAATCTGTATCTCATAAAATATTTTTTTGGAAAGACTTATTGAAATAGTCATTATTGTCTGTCTGGCAACGCATCACAAGTAAACCACTGGACAGATTTTGACGAAACTTAATATGATAATAAATCCGGGTCAACATATAGGATACTTTTTACTGCGAGAAAATATCTCATCTCTGAGAAATCTATACTAAACGTTGAAATGTTTTTTTATAAATCTATCAAATATCATAAAAATTAGTCTTGATAAAAGACATTTAAACAAACAAAAAGATAAACAGACAACATTTATTACAACATACATATAAATAAATAAGGAGAGAATAAGTTAGAGCATTCAGCTTAGGAGAAGAGATAAGAAACGGTCTTTGAGGTGAAATTCAAACTGATAATAGGTCATGTGTTGATATTAAGTACATACAACGCAGCACGACCTATTATTTTAAGTCATTAGTGTGTACGATGTTTAAAGTGATTGTCGTGTTGATTGCATCGATAAGCGTCGCATACGCGGCCCTTGCGATAGCCTCCCTGCAGCCAAAGCCTGAGAAATTCAGTAAGTAAAATATAACATATAATAAAATTGTAACTAAGCCGAATCTATACATTAAATATTTTTTGGAAAATCTTATGAAATAGACATTATTATCGATATAGAGGCCGAATCTATAGTTTTTAGAATTTTTGTCTGTCTTTCTGTTACCGCATCACGAAAAAACCACTGGAGAGATTTTCATAAAATTTGCTATGGTGATAGCTGGTTATCTGGGTCAACATATAGGATACTTTTTACCGCGTGAAAATGTCTAATTTCTGCGAAAAAATACAAAAACTGCATAGTAAGAGTATACTAATATGTGAAACCTAAGAATTTGGTTTTTGGTCATCTAAACGTGTGCGGAGCCGCGGGCAGTGCTATTATCTAAATAAAAACATATTTTAATATTATTTTTTGACGTACTAACTTATTTTACTGAGACTAAAAATGTATGTCTACATGCATATTTGTACAATGTACTTAGATATATAGAGAATGCTTCTTGTGTTATGTTTTACCTACGTTACACTCAAAGTGAATGTTTATACAATATTTTTTTACCACTTTGATACTTTTTTAAACAATTTTAATAATTTTCCTCTATTTAATATACAATTTTCGACAAAAAATTCGTTTATACTGAATAATTACCTTATTTTATTACATAAAGAAACTCTTGTCGACAATTGGATTTGTCTCCTTTACTATTGCGTAAAATATTTTTCTATATATAAATAAACGAAAACAAAACAAAAATTACTAAAGTACTTTTATCTCTTCTTTGTTTTTGTTTAGTATCTAGCTATTGACAAGCTTCAGTGTTATCAATAAAAAAAATTGAAATTGTTATTTTTTATATAAATATGTAGGTAAATTCTCTTCATATACGAGTATTATGTTTTCCTCAAATTTTCAATTATGATTATTGTCGAATTTGGCCCACAAAGGGAACACTTCTGTCTATAAATACATAAAATATAATAATATTGTTAATAGTTCTTTGGGCAAATACTGAACTCAAAATAGTTCAGTATATTATAAACACTAAATGATAATAAAGTCTATATTTATTTATTTATTTTTTAATAAAATTTTCACTGGATCGAATCTGTACATTAAAATATTTTTTGGAAAATCTTATTGAAATAGTCATTATTATCGATAGAGAGGTCGAATCTATAGTTTTTAGAATTTTTGTCTGTCCATTTGTCTGTCCATCTGTCTGTCTGTGACCGCATCACGAGAAAACCACTGGACAGATTTTGATGAAATTTGGAATGACGATAGCTGGTTATCCGGGTCAACATATAGGATAGGTACTTTTTACTGCGGGAAAATATCTCATCTCTGAGAAATCTATACTAAACTTTAAAACGTAAGTAGAGACGAACCCGCGCGGAGCGAGGGTGAGTCGCTAGTACATTATACATACCAAAAAAGTGATAATTAAGAAAAACATTCAAACGTAATTTTGTAAAAATATGCTCCACATATCTATTTTGTAGTGTATGTTATTTAGAAACTAACTTACTTATTCTTTTTCAGAGGATCAAGAAGGATGTTACATTAGGGAGTTAGACCAAGTGATTCCATTTGGTGGAACCGCTCCCTCTAAGTCCGCCTGTATGCGTTACTTCTGCGGGGAAAAGATCGTGCAGCATGAAACGTATTTATTTATTTAGTTTATTTATATAATTTTGTTTATTTATTAGTATTAAACATAAATCAGTACAGTAGTATATGTACTCGTATCTCTACAAGTTCGTAAAATCTCCTGTCCATTTTCTATTATCTTTGTTATATATGAGTGGTACCTGTAATGGTACCTACTCATTATGCAGGCTTTGCCTAGTGTTACCTTTACGTATAAAATATGTATATTGTAAGCTTTTTAGCAATAAAGTAAATATAATTATTATTATGTGTGACAAATATAAAAAAGCACTTAGAGTTTCCCGATTTGCCCCATTATTGGGGCAACTTTATTTTTCCCCCTTTAAAACGTTATTCTAAATAGAATATCGTAAATACGAAGATTTTTAAACAAAAATTGTCAAACCAGTCCAGCCATTCCCAAGTGATACTCTTACCAATAAACAGCATTTCATTTTATTTATGTTAATTAGTACTAGTATCTAATACCGTTAAAGGAGCAATTCTTGTATATTTATCTATTATACTGGCGATATCGAAAACGGCTCTAACGATTTCGATGAAATTGGGTATATGTGGGTTTTCGGGGGCGAAAAATCGATCTGGATTAGTCTTACATATGGGGAAACGCGTGTTTTCGAGTTTTCATGCTGTTTTCTTTCGCATTATTCCACGTAAAATATGGTCGCTAATTTCGCATACTCAGGCGTAAGCGTCATGGTTAAGCGGCCAAGCCGCAAGATTGACCATCACCGGCGTCCGGGTTCGAATCCCGGTCGGATACAAAGCTTTTACGTTTGTATTTTTTGTATTTATTCAAGTTTTTATTTTATTTTTTGTTTTTAAGCCAAATAAAAAATACAATTGTACTTTTGGCCAAAAACTCCGAGCGAAGCTCAGTCACCCAGGTACTAGATAGTAATACTAGTACTAATTTATATTATAAAGAGGCAGAGTTTGTTCCTTTCTTTGCTTGATCTAATCTCAGAAAATACTAATCCGATTTGAAAAATTCTTTTTGCATTAGATTGCCCGTTTATTGTGGAAGGCTATATATTGTATAATAGGTATATAGTATACTAACCGTTTATTCCATACTAACCGTTAAAACGTATTTCACATTATTAATTCATATGCACATTTTTAATTTTAGGTGTGGTGTCAAGGTTGCAGCGCCACCTTGCACACTAGTGACCGACAAGACTAAGCCATACCCAGATTGCTGTCCTCAACTCTCTTGTTAAAATGATACTGTTCACTTTTGCTGTGCAGTAAATACGTAACATTTTTACTCTCTTCTACACTTTTACAAATATAAATGCAAATAGGATAAAAAATGGTGATGAACAGTGACCGTAATAATATGGAGAAATAAATGATTTAAAGTTCACTTATGTTGTGTTAACATAATATAGGTAAAAATGGCAAATAGTATATTATGTAAAGAAATTAAACATGTTGAGGACCACTTTATTCCTTATATGCTTAAGCATTTGATTAATGAAACAAAATAAATTTAACTGAAAATTAACGAAATGATGATGCAAACGTCGATTTAATTAATAGAGGTAAAAGATTCTTTTATAACACTTTCTTAGATTTACGCGAATATTTGACATTTTAAATAAAACTATCTTTTTTTTTGGGGGGAGTCTCTCCCGTGAGCTCCCATGAATGCTGTAAAGCATTCGAAACGACGGGAACCAAAAATCTAAATAAATCCGCGAAAAAATCCGAAAAGATAGTTTTATTTAAGATTCTTTAATCTTCAAAAAAGAGATACTCAGGTGACAAGTTATATTTTTGGGGGTACATAACTTGATATATTAATCAATTTTGGAGCAATGTTTCCAATTTTTTCAATGACTAGGTTACCTGAAGGGTAGTTCCATATTATATATTAAAAAAAATCACCCCAGAGGGTTGTAGTGTATTACTTTTAAGTGATTTTGAAGCAAGTGTGCCATTTTAAAAAAAAGTAATTTATTAGCAGTTATTATGTCGCAACTTAACGTAAAACAGAACTATATTCATAATACACAAGCCACACGACGAGCTTTCACGGCCGAGATGAAAAGTCAAATGAGTCACTTGAAAATTCAGAGGTCATCGCCCGATTTACTTGCAAGCTCCTAGTATGTATGAATTTAACGACGAGATAGATCATTTTAACCTTTAGTCCTTGCAAAAAAATGTAGAGATATACTACTATGTATGCTGTTAAAATAATTAAAATTAAAGCATTTTTTTTAATAATTTTATTTTTTCGTTTTCCCAATTGTACTAGGCTATTGAAGTAAAAGATATACCTACACTAGCATTGCCCGCGGCTCCGCCCGCGTTCAGATGACCAAAAACCAAATTCTTAGGTTTTACATATCAGTATACTCTTACATTGCAGTTTTTGTATTTTTTCTCAAAAATTAAATATTTCCCCGTGGTAAAAAGTATCCTATATGTTGACCCGGATAACCAGCTTTCACCATACCAAATTTCATCAAAACCTCTTCAGTGGTTTTTCTGTGATGAGGTAACAGATGCGGCTTTTAAAAAATGTTTATTAGCTGTCTGTGCGTATTTTTAAATTAACATATTGTCTTATAAAATATGAAAAAAAATTTTTTTTACAAGAATTCAGGAATGAATATTTTTAATCTAAGCCCTAAGATAGTGAGAACTCTCCGAGTAGATATATCGAATGGTCAAAAAATACATTTATAATAAAAACGATATAAGATTATATGTTATATTTTTACATTTTACTTTTTTATAATAATAGCAACTAAAATCAAACCACGATAAAATATAGGACGATAACAAAAACAATTACATACTTATGTTATTTTTTTACATTTACAGAAGCATCTTAACAACAAAAATTCAGACCATATTTGCCCGTACGGTTTTATTCTTCGATAGTAAAATTATTAGGCTTTCGTGGTCTCTGTTGTGTAAATAATAAAACAATATGTGCATTGTACAATGCGGTGGACTTGCAATAGTTTTCTATTACAGTTTGTACGTGATGCATTTATTTCTCAAAGAAATACTAGAAAGTCGATATAATAAGTATTGTACATGGGTAAATACTTTATTAACTTTTTACATATGTTAAATAATTAAATCTTACTAATAATATAAATATAAAAGTTTAGATGGATGTTTGTTTGTTACTCATTCACGCCAGAACGGCTGAACGGATCTGGATGAAATTTAGTACAGAGATAGATTATAGTCTGGAATAGCACATAAGATTACTTTTTACCGCGGCAAAATATCTCATTTCTGGGAAAAAAATATAAAAACTGCAATGTAAGGTATACTAATATGTAAAAGATAAGAATTTGGTTTTTGGTCATGTGAACGCGGGCGGAGACGCGGGCAATGCTAGTAGACAATAAAGGAAAAGATGGTAGGAGATGAATGAAGCTAATCGATGTTGAATACTTTATTTTACGTATTAAAACTTTCAATTCTGGTATTCTTCTCATGTTTCTTATAAAGTAACATCACACTAGAAACCAACAACCGGATAAAAGCCCATATTATCGCAAGCACGCAAAGTCTACAGTACCGTACCAATATTTATATGGGCATGGGCGCCGACAGATTTGTTTCCAGGGGGGTGCATCTGCTTCTTCACGTTAAACTACTAACTAAACTTTAAATGATTAACTTTATAATTTTTATTCACATCTTATTTATCACCTTTTCTTTGAAGATATCTAGATTTAAACAGAGACTTTAGTCATAAAATTTTATTTCTTTAACTTTTTCTATATATTTTCCAAGGGGGTGCACTTCCATTCCCGGCGCCCATGTATAAGGGGTCTCATCAGGAACAAAGAAAAATTAATTCGAATAAATATCACTAGATATCATTATTGATATGTATTGATTTATCATTAAAGTTTGTGTAAAAATAAAAAAAGTTAAAAAAGATATATTATGGCATTCAAAAATATTCTAAAGGAAGGAAAACGAAACAAAGGCTACGTAAATGTAATTTGTGTAATTTAAAATTTTCCTCATTATTGAAAACTCCGCAATCAAGTAATCAATCAAAATTGTAGATATTACAAATGACGCTTTTGCTTTTTATAAGTTGTAAACGGTTAAAAGCTGTAAGTCACTAAGTTTAAGCGCAGAATGGATTTTGCAATAGTTAACATATTTTAGTTTACACATATTTACAAAATAATATAGTTTGAGTTTTGCGGATTAACGCCATCTATTATCCATTTATGCAAACAAAAATAGCCCGAAGAAAAGTCCGAATTAGAGCTGCCCAATTTCTTTGTATGGGATGGGGCATCTGTACTATTATTGTGTAATCTGTGGTACCTATGAATATTTACACGCCGTATTCAGCTTTTTTTAGACGTCCCACTGAACTGACTGACTAAAAATTGGTCGAAAATTATTTCTAACGGCAACGTAACAAAGGCACCGAAGTAAAAAAAGCTAGTGCAGGTTTCATATGAAGACCCGGCAAGACCCTTTTATAAGCAGGCAAAAAAAAACCACGGGACTTATTTAACTTTTCCATTATATATACTCCATATTCCCTTCAAAACAATCAATGCAAGTAGACGACTACATACGCTAAATCAGCTCGAAAGAATATACTAATATAAATTATACCAAAAAATGAAATAATTTAATAATTTTACAAAGAAATTTTTATTTTAAAGGGCCCAGGAACATACACAATAAAACAAAACATTTAAAAAAATCAAAATTATATAATTCACTTTCAACTGAAGTCCTTACATACTAGAATATCATCATAGTACAATAGCTCTGTAATAAATAATATAGAGTTACAAAATTCGCTAGTTTAAAAAAAATTACACTAAGAGATACAAAAACAAACATATATACGAGAAATGTCAATTATTTGACATTAAAAACAATAAAAAAAATTTACACTCTTAGATAAAATAAATGCAAGTAGTAAAAACTAACTTATCTAATTACTGTGAGCGGATTGACGTTGACATTTGAACCAATAGTAATCTCCTTCGTGTCTTCTCCATTCTACGTGACATTGGCGAAATAATCTGTGCTCAACTGGCACGCTTTAAACCCATTAACGAGAAAATTGAATTAGTCTAATACTCATGTCATATAGAATGGCAATAAAAAGCCTTTCATGGCCACTGAAGTTATTTTGCTTAATTAGACGAGATTTCCTATTTTCCACGTCCAAAACATATTTAAACTTATTATAATGTGGTAAAGAATCGCAATGACTCACTTATTCATTCTCCATTTAAAAAATACAATGAAGATGCGAATAAAAAAAGTATTTGTGACAGATCTGTCAAAAAATATAGAATATTCGTTTACAAAAAAATCATTTTATAAAATTGATTTAATGCTTATTATATATTCATTAAAAATGGCTCAGTATGAAACATGTGTATGTGATGAAAAAGAAAAGCAACGAGATGTCATACGTTTGTAGAGGAAACTCTTTATTTTATGCGACCGCTGAGCAAAGTCTGTATGCATAAAAATATATAAATATAAATATTATAATAAAAATATATGTGTCGTCGCGGAGATTATTTCGCCTGGTTAATTAAACATACTCGTATTTAAATATAAGGATCTCGTAACACCTTTATATGTATTAAGATGGCGCGTTACACAGCTAGCAACACCTAATATAAAGGCTTTACAAGATCCTAATAGTTTAATATCTTTAATTAACCAGGCAAATAATCTCCGCGATGACATATAATTATAGGTTCAACCAACGACACAAATACTTAGATATGTAGTGGGTACGTACTAAGCATTTCGATTCCTCAAAAACAAATCCTCGTAAAAGTGAATAAGGTAATCATATTTTAAAAAGCAATACGTTTAATTTTAGCCAGCTCACATCTGGGCACGGGCCTCCATTCAATACGAGGGGGATCAAGCCATAGTCGACCACGCTGGCAAAGTGCGGGGCGGACTTCACATGTCTTTTGAAAACACAAATGAAATTTATTCGTTAATAAATAAATTAAATATTCGATTAATTTCAAATATAATATTTGGAAAAAGAACGCAGTTTGGAAATGTCAAAAAGACTCGCAAACAGGTAACATGACTAACGATATACGAGTACGATCACGGACGAAAGGTTATTAAAGGCTCTTTAGCATTAAGAATTTTTAAAATTCATAGCCGATTTTTTAATAAAAAAAAAATTAAATTAATAGCCTCATCTTTTCGTTTCACTCAAACTACTAAAAGCATTTTTTTCACAAGTAGATTATATTACAAAAGACATTAAAATTATTTTTCCTTTAACATTAAATATAATAAATATAAATATATTGGGACATTAATACGCCGAACAATCTAGTTCCATGATAAGTTACGAGGCTTGTCTTATGGATACCAGATAGTTGAAACACTACACATATATAACTTTAAATACATACATATTATAAGTATGTATATATGTATAATACCCATGACTGGAGTACAAACATTCGTCTCGTGCTCATCGCACAAATGAATGCCCCCAGCGGGATTCGAACCCGCGACTGTTAGCTCAGCAATTAGTGTCTACAAACGAAGCCAAAGTGTCATGAATTTAATTATTATTTTATTTAATACAAATTACATCTCGTTGCTTCATTCGAATGAATACAATATGACAAGATGAGAAAACTTAACAGTCCTCAGTCAAATGTAACACTTAATTGCCACAATATTTTGTAAAATATATCAAAACACCTCAAAATAATAATTAAGAGGTTTTCACAATGAACACTTATAGAGGCCGATAATTAATTAGTGCCATAGATCACGCTAGATGGCGTTGTAACGTTACGTATTATGTACGTAATAATATAGTACATACATGAGACCGTCAGTGCGTAAGTGGTCTAACTTTAAAATAATTAACTATAACTAGGGAAAAATTGACATATTTTTAATTTTAACTACTAGGAATAAATATATGTATATGTTTATTCAAGTGAAATACAATAGCGCAAATTAGGCCCATACAATTTCTAGGTATGGAGTGAGATAGACACCCTATCAAATACCTAAATATATTATGTTTGTACATATCTGTACTAATTAGTATTATCAATCATATTATTTCTGTATATTTTTTAAATAAAAAAAAAAATATATAATATAAACTAGTCGTCACCTATTCACGTACGTAAGAGTCTTCAGAGACCTAAATGTGTAAAATTAATAGGTTTTTCGCTTATAAAGTAAATAATTTACGTTAAATAAAAAAACAAACTAATTAAATATAGTGTACCGTCGATAGTTATTATCCCGGAAATCATACCTTAAGGGGGTGAAAGTTTGTATGGGCAAGTTCTGCCAATTTATTATGATATAATGTATACTATTTTGGAGTTAGGTCACTTATGCACTTATAGCCTTATTAACATAAACATACATATATTGACAATTTCTAATATGAGAATTTTGCCAATTTAGTGAAATTGATCTAAGTAATAGTTAACTCGTATATTTTGTTTAAGAGTCAAGATTTATATTATCTTGGACCAATAAACACATTCACATTACAATTTGTTAGTAAATTCTACGTCCGACATGCAAATTACATACAATACTCATCCCATACAAATATTAGACTTCCAATCGCACACATACCTTTATAATTGTATACACGTAAGGCGATTACAGTCTATACTTTTTAATCAGTTCCATTTAATTATGGCAACATTCAACAATATTGCCATTAAATTGATTAATTCAAAACATTTTCATAAGATATATCAAAAGTTTTTAAAATTGAAAGATAAAATATTATTGCAAAACCAAATTACTTTGCCCAATAATTAAAATATTAAAAATACATATATGAAATTCATCGACACACAAACAAACAAACAGAGGATATTTTTTTATATATATAAAAAAATATCTATTTGAATTGCATGCTTAATGACCACTTTAACAGCCACTTATATTATACTATACGATATGCAAAACCTAACGTCAAATGTCTTTTAATTCAAGTCTTATAAAAACAACCAGTATAAATTGGCACATGCTATTACTATGGAAATCATTTCTTAAGTCTATTTTATCTGTATCAAAATTATAGAGAAGAAATCATATCTACCTAATAGTAAATCCGCTACTTTCAATTAAAATATTACCTAATAGTAGCAATTGGTAGAAATTTAATGTAATGGCAACACTGGATTTATAACATGCAAAATAATCGAGTAAAAAACATCAGGTCCCTAAAAGTTCGTGTGAACTTTGAAATTCGTGCCTTAGAATAATTACAACCTTTATTGCAATTTTTAGATAATTTAATAAAATGGACGACCACATTTGTTAGAAACTTGAAAGTCAAAAACGATTTAAATCATTTTCAATACTGAAAAAATGTATAAACTATTATAATAATAAATCTAAAGAGCCTAATTAAAATACAAAACTCCATAGAAAGTTCTAAATGTAGCTTTTCATCATCCTTTAAGTTCTTTATAAAAGAATCACATGTTCTCAAACTTTATTGTAATAAAACCATAATAAAATATACCATACTTTTAAAATTTAGAACATGCAACAATAAATTTGTTACAAAACGCAAATTACAAATGGCAGTGAACAAGTATATTTTAATTAACTTACATATTACTTCATCAGTTTAGCGGTTTTTGTATAATATCTAATACTCAGACTAAGGAATAATATAGTGTCATAGAACTAAACATGAAGCCAAATAATATTTAAGAGTATAATGTAAATAAAATACCTACACATTGTTGTGATAAGTAAATAAATGTTAATAAATAGTTAAATAAAAATCTGTACGGCAAAATCAAGAATAGTAGGATAAACAGCAAATCACGCTACTATTTTTGACTTCGGACTTTTTTTGGCGGCTTATCAAATATTTCGTCTATAAAACTCTTCAGTCTGAGATCTAATAATTATTCCATATTTACATAATATATAAATCAATTGTTTTAACCGACTTTTTCGATTGGATAGTTTTGCAATTTCAATTTTTTTAGACATCTAAACTAACTCTAAGACGGAAGATTCAGATAAAAAGTATTAGTAAACTTTTAAAGCGCTTGAGCGAAGTTGGCGCCTGAAATTGCGCAGGTGGTTTTATTGTTTTATTTTTTGATATACTTAGTCCATAATAATTGTATATATTATACATTTATACCTATACCAAAAGTGATGTCATGCACATTGACGTGTGGCTAACTTCACAGCGAATTATACGTTTACAGAAATATCTTTTGATAACAACAAAATTTTACATTTTGTCTTGTTAATAAACAAAAAAAAATACATAAAAAATGTTTGCTACTAATCAGTTAGGACAAAAAGTATCTACAACATCTATACAAATAAAAAATGAATGTTTGCCCTCCATTCGTTACTAAACTATCGATCCGATCATGACGAAACTCTGCTAGGTTATACGGTTATACGTATACAGATACGACTGCGAAGGCTCCTAGCCAAAAAAAAATGATTTTTTCTAATAAACTATTCAAACTTATGAACGCTCCCGAGCAAAGCAAGTGTAAGTCACTAGTCAAGTACAAAAATAATATAATCAAGTCAATCGAAAAAGTCGGTAGCTTAAATGAATTTAAAAGAAAAAGTTTTTCGCTTATGGCAACTACATTAGGAATATTATCGGCTTAATCTAACACGTTATTGTATTGCCACAAATTAAATTGCTTCAGGCAAATTGAGTTTCTTCTTTTATATATTATATGCATAGATAATATAAAAAAAAGTAATATAATTTAACTAAGAGAAATAACCAAACTTTAATGTCAATCTCTCTTAAAAAATATATAGATACAGCGGTTCCCAAACTTTGACGAGTAATATTAAAAAAAAACTTTTGGAAATTATAAACATCTATCAAAAAAGTACTTGACACACAATCCCATTCAAAAGTTGTTTTCACAAAAAATAAATTAAATTAAAAACGCGCTCAAATGTTCAAATGAGCACTCATTCGGTGAGGACTTTTTTTGTCGCTGATTGTGTATCTAGTACTTTTTGTTAGTTTGATCGATAATTATAAAACAAACAAGAGCAAAAATTGCACAGAACATACATACATGAAAAAATACCATCACGTACTATAAAAAAATACGTCCTACAAAAGCAGATCTATGTTAAAGAGTCAAGAATTCTAATACATGGCAGTTATTTATCACTTTATTCTTAACAATCATAAGAACTCCAGATACGATTCAGACCTTAGTTAGATACAATTTTTTGCCCCGATTCCTCCCTTTTTATTCCACACCTCGTGCCATTATCCTCATAGTATTACATAATCAATTGTTACAGTACTACAAATACTTAGTAAAATAAGGCGTGTATATATATACAAACTTGTGTCAGTCGCAAACGATGGCGATGTCTGTGGGTTTGGGCAGTCGTCACGCCCGCGGCCCACTTTTCTCACCCATGCGCTTTATTAACTCTGATATGAGCTCTCTGTAAAGAAAATTGTATACTATTGTAGAAATTTTAATATTATTGTAGAATTCACCCGCGTTCAATCTATAAAAAAACTTTTTTGGGTTATGTTATATATAGCGACTCACACTTGTTTCGCTCGGGTCCGTGTGTAATTATATAATATTAAATTATTTGGATATTGTTCATACTAAAATATTAAAATCGCGATTAAAACATGGGGGGTGGGGGTAGGAGGGTGAAAAATACTTTACGACCTACTCTCACACCTACCAAATATACAAAAAAAACTCATTAAAATCCGTCCAGCCGTTTCGGAGGAGTGTGTCCACAAACACCGTGACACGTGATATTTATATATTAGATAAAATTTCAATGTGATCGCAATTCTTCAACTCTTATACGGTTTGGTAGCCCAGTGGTAAAGTGCTCGCTTGGGAAACCGAGTGAAACGGGTTCAAATACCGGATCTCGCAAAACCACCAAGCAAATTTTCGAGGGACATGTGAAGTCCGTCAACCCGCACTTTTCCAGCGTGGTGGAATACGGCCTGATTCATATGAAGAAAGGTGCCTAGCAGTGGGACGTTAAATAGAGCTGATTACTATACTATCTTATATACTATAATACTAATATATAGTCGGTAAATACTATATATTAGTATTTATCGAATTGATAAAAGATTAAAGATCGATATTAGATCGATTTCAAACGAAATGTGAAGTCACACGCACTTGGCTAGCGCGGTGGTTACAATAATCCATCACACTGGCCAAGTACGAGTTGACAATCTTAATCCCTTCGCAAACCTCAATCCGAGGTAAGCCCACGCCCAGCAGTGGGACATTAAAAAGGGCTAAAGAAACACTTACCTATAAATAAGCGGGTCCATATTCCTAGCCAGCATGTACAGGAGCCACCAATCGCCCACGTCCGTCCGTCTCGACACGATCACCGCCGTCTCCATCGCGATCGTACGCGCCCTAGCGTGGAGAAGCCTCGGACGGACAGACGGCACAAATATTATTACGAGCCTGGAAAAAAATATACGTATGTATTACGTATTTGTATACTCGTCTGCTAAGTACTAAAGGTAACTTTAGAGTGCGACGCAAATTGCCATATAAATTATCAGATATTCAATTTCTTACTGTTCACACTTTTACAAAATTTTAGTGTCTGAGTATATATAAATGTACTGAAATTGTGTCTAAGCTGTTTACACTCCTGCTTCACGTGAAACTCATTATTAAATAATATGGATGGAAGTATGGAGATAGTTTCAGACCCTAGGTCTTAAGAACATAGGATAGTTTTATGCTGGAAATGATTTCCCTTAAAGGATCCTCCAATAAAGGGGGAGGGGTGGAAGTCTGTATGAAGGATCAATCATTTCTCAAGTAAGGGAAACAAAAATCATCATACCTATGTACATATATATAAATACTAGTATAAAGTCGATCTATTCCATACTAACCATTAAAACATACCAAGGACGAACCCGAGCGAAGCAAGGGCGAGTCGCTAGTAATTCTATAAATCAAAATTTGATAAGACATTTTAAATGAATTTAAAAACTCACCTGTATATAACTAGAAGTACGAGTATAACCGCCAGTATGATATACCAGAACCATAGGAATATGTAGGTCTTCTCGTTGACGATGTTCAGTGGCAGAATGCAAAGCGAGTCGTGAGTCTGTATAGTGCCCGACGCACCAAACTTGTGGAACGTGCACTTCGTCACGCGAGGGAACACGTATATCATTGGATCATATCTGGAATGACAATTGAACTGTATATTAAGCTGTTACCCGGGACTTTGCTTGAATTTAATTATTACAATTTAAGTAAAAATGTAGGTACTCAGACTTCAAATCATTTTACATAAATCTTCTACTCTTAAGATGGAAAATTTTAATGTAATCTACATATAATATGTATGTATTTAAAAGTTTAAAAGTTATATGTGTGTAGTGTATCAACTATCTGGTATTCATAACACAAGACTAGTAGCTTACCATGGAACTAGATGGCGCTGTGTCTTAACGTCTCAACATATTTATTATTTATTTATTCATATATGAGATTTAACCATTGGGATATAACTATCTATAAACTATTCGTTAAAAAATAATATCATGAAACTGATTTTCATTCACAATTATTGGAGAAAATATGGCGTATGCAAATACGCAAAAATCCCGAATTAAATACATTTCCTTTTTTAAAATCAGTGAAAAGTAAAAAATATATTTTATGTAGAGAAAAAATCCACGTTTCATTAAAATAAGAAGTTACATAAAATAAATACTATTTAGCTACTAAACTCCTCGCAAAGCCTAGTTCGCATTAAGCTAGTATTTTAGTCTAGTAGCGAGTTATTTAGTAACTAAACGTGTCTGAACACTAAAAATTTAGTCGATTAGTTTAGTAAGTAATTTAGTCGAGTCAATCCATTTTATTCTATTTTTTTGGGCGAGTAGCAGCCCCCACCACGAGTCCGAGCTCACTGGTTCACCGGCTAAACAAGTACGAACCTGTCGAATTAGTCGAGTTCATTAGTTGCCGCCATAATGTCGTTTTTACACAACTTTCGGACATTCTCAAACTATCGAAGTATTCTTTGGGATCTTCCAATGCTAATTCCTTCAGAAGACAATTAGTAGCTCCTAGTTTATCTCGTCTTTCGATACATTTTCGTACCCATAGCTTCTTTTTATTAATCACACAAATTTCCTCATCCACCTCTTCTAAAATAGCCGTTACGATCAGCTTAATCAGTTTATTTACTTTATTGCGTTTTAGGCTGTTCATCTTGCAAAACACCACTCACTTGTAAACTTTACTCGACCAAAGTGCGAACGATTTTTGGTGAGTAGCGAGTAATTTAGCTACTAAATTACTCGCTACTAGACTAAAATACTAGCTTAATGCGAACTAGGCTTTAAAGAGCTACTATCGGTGCATGCAACATCAATAATAACAGATTTTATGTATAAGCCGCACATTTACAAAGTTTACTTTAGTTTTATTCAACAAACTGCAAAAATACCTACTACGTAAAACGTAAACAGATTATACTAAGGATCAACATCACAAGGAAATCGATTATTCAAGCATTTCTAGCATTTTTTTTAAATTACGATATTCTGAGTTTGAGCGGAAATCGAACCCATAGACACTAATACAAAAAATATTCAAATACATATATTGAAAGTACTTCAGATATACCTTTCTTCTTGTGGCACTTCGCTGTAACCCAAAACCCTGGTCCCGTATGAAAAGAACTCGCCGTTGAAGAAAGAATCCATTATCCACAACTGGAGTACGATGTTGATGAGACATAGCAATTCGCAGCCCCAATAACGAAATGCGTACAGCTTATGAGTCTGTAATTAAAAAAAACATATGAAATATAACTTAAAATTCTTATAAGTATTGTATAATAATCAGGGAAAAAAACGCGTGTGTGTGTACTTATTTACGCACGTGAGAAGTTATATTTCTTTGGCGTAACAGAACAAGAATATCTAAAGATTTCATCCCGTATGTCACAACGTATGTCGCTTTTTGGCTGTCGGTGTGCACGCGAATCGTAAAAATTATACACTTATATTTTTTTTCCAAACGTGACAAAAGAAGTATAACTTCAAAAATCTTAGAGCAACTGTTTGACTCACTGGCTTATCTACATACTAATTGACTAGCAACATTATCACCAAAGTCAAATTAACGAATAGTTACGTATATAAAAATAAATTCAGCCATCATACTGTTGGGTCAGGACTCAGGCCTTATATTAATAGCATGGTCCACCACGCTGCCCAAATACATATAGATAGGGTTTTTGTATAGGAGGAAGAAAATTTTTTACCGAATTTTCGGTTCGTTATATCTGTTCGTTTGTTTTTCCGAAATTTCCGATTTTTTTTCCAAGTGTACTGTTGTATAGTAGACTGTAATATGACCTAATGATGAACTTTTAGCAAAAACAAAGAATTCTAATTTTAGAGTTCAAACAAAAAAACTAAAAATAGCTCCTCAAAGCATTTTACCTAATTCTTCTCCAGGTAAATTTCTAAGAAACTAATTAAAATTCTAAGAAATCTATTGCTAACTGACACGCCTACGTGTCCGCGGTCGTGGAGGGATTATAGTCCAAAAAACGTAAGTTTTATTTCCATACGCTTAACAAGTACAGGCGTAGGCGCATACTCTTGCCAGTTATTTTATAATAATGACTTAGAAATTCAAAGCAACCTCGTAAATTATGGTTTTTTTTTTTAAATTAATGACTGTTCTAGTCAGCAAGTAGGCCAATCACAGTATCACTAGCATGTTGTTTAATATTCAATACCCGCATTGCTATTATACAACAATTATTATTCGAAGGTCTCTTACTAATATTACCTAAACTATTTTTTTTATTTTTTTATTATGGCTATAAATGAAATCAAATCAAAATATACTTAATTCGAATACTTTTACAAGCACTATATATCCCTTTTTAAATTTTTAAAATTAAAATTAAATGTCAGTAACCAGGACGTAATTCCATGAGGAATTTACTACTAGCTCGGAAGGCAGTTCTGCTGAGAAGAGCCGGCGAGAAATTCAACAGTTGCTCTTTTAGATTCTACATCACCACCATTTCTAGTCTATTGTAATCGCCCCATGTGGACCTAACCTGTTGCCAAAACCTTTGTTGCCTAAAAAAAGACTTTGTTGAAAAATTTAAAGGTATAAAAATTATTTAAAAGTAAATGAACTACTTATATGACATAACGACTTTTTTATATAATATATTTTTTCTTTTCTCTGCCACAAGCTTCACATATGAAAGGAGCTTATGAAAACAGGTTTCTAGGATCTTTTTATGTTTTTATATAAATTTCATTCAAGATAAATTGAAACTTCTTATTAATATTCACTCCATACTAATATTATAGGTAAATGTGAAAGTAACACAAGCGAAGTCGCTAAAACTAGTATTATATATTTTAAATAATACAAAGTGTATGCGGCACGAAAGAAATTATACTTATCTATACACAAAGCTCTTTACAGTGCTTACACCGTCTCGTCTTGCTTGGCAACCAATCATAGCGGGTGGCGACCCGCATGTTTGTTTATCAAGGCGTCATATGGTAATATGATGTGTGCCTCGTTATGTTGAGTTTCCAAGGTGTCATTGTTACGTTTATCAATCGATGACTCCTTTGGTAATTATGTAACGAGATAGATACCAACCAATTGAGTGTTGAGTGCTACAATCTATACATATAATAAAATGGTAACTAAGCCAAATCTGTACATTAAATATTTTATGGAAACTCTTATTGAAATAAACCTTATTATAGATACAGAGGCCGAATCTAGTTTTTAGAGTTTTTGTCTGTCTCTCTGTTACCGCACCATGGAAAAACTACTGGAGGAATTTTGATGTTTGGTATGGTGATAGCTGGTTATCCGGGTCAACATATAGGATACTTTGTACCGCGGGAAAATCTCATTTCTGAGAAAAAATACAAAGATTTAGTTTTTGGTCATCTGAACACGGGCGGAGCCGCGGGCAATGCTAGTATGATACACTTTTTTTATTTTTTATCTGTAGAGTGTAATGTAAGCTTAGAGTGGGACACGAATTGCGACATAAATGTCAGACATTATCTTCTGTACTGTTCACACTTCATGTCTCACTCACGAAATTTCATGTTTGAGTAGTTTCTGTACATAAATGTAGAATCTAGTTTTTAGAGTTTTTGTCTGTCTCTCTGTTACCGCACCATGGAAAAACTACTGGAGGAATTTTGATGTTTGGTATGGTGATAGCTGGTTCCGGGGCAGAGGCTGACTGCTACCGGACGCGTCCCCCGGGTGGCGGATAGGGGAAGCCACTCGCGACTGTTCCCCCAGACAGGAGCTTGTGGTACCGGAGCAATCCGGCGCGGACCAACAGCCAGGAGGGGCAGGGGGAGCGGTGTCAGGAGGGCGCCGTCTCCTTCTTGGAGGTAGCGCGGTGTCTCCGGCCGTTTCGCGGTAGGAGGCGCTGCGCGGGCCGTGCTGCCGGGGCTAGCCCGTCGGTGCGGCGGCTGGAGCGGGGCCAGTTCGGTGGTCCTGCGTCTGGCGTGGGTGTCGGCAGCCATCTTGGTCCGGAGGTGGGCCGACGGTAGGGGGGCCGCGGGGGAAGAGGAGTGTCGGTATGGCGATGCGCCGCTCGTCCCTATCTCCCGCGGTCTAGCGGGGCCACCACCGTTGATGGTGGACGCGGTGGGGCTGTAGGGGAAGGGGAGTGTCGGCGTTGTCGCATCCTCTACTCCTGCAGCCGTTTGGGGTGGGCTCGGTTTCGGGCGTTGTTGGAGGTTGCCCAATTTGGGTGTGGAAGGACAGGCTTAGGCCGCTTATTTTTGCAGGTTGCCCACTTCGGTGGGCGGTGTTTGGTCGTGTGGGGCTGCTCCGGGTACTTCTCTGTTCAGCAGAGTCGACTTAGGAGCAGTCTCACGTTCAGGGTTGCAAGTCTTCCCATAATGGGGTCGTCTCGCTTGGGGCGGCCTCATGGTTGGTGGCTTCGGTCAACCGTCGGGGCGTCACGGTTGTATGCGAAAGCGGTCCCGTGGCGTCCCACATGGCGGCTGTGGGGAAAGTTGGGTTTTAGTGGGTATGCCGGTCTCATTAGCCGGAGAGTCTCCACATAACCACCCTGGGGGGAAGTCGGGTGGTATCCGTAATAGGATTTCCCAACTATAAAAAAAAAAAAAAAAAAATGGTGATAGCTGGTTATCCGGGTCAACATATAGGATACTTTGTACCGCGGGAAAATCTCATTTCTGAGAAAAAATACAAAGATTTAGTTTTTGGTCATCTGAACACGGGCGGAGCCGCGGGCAATGCTAGTATGATACACTTTTTTTATTTTTTATCTGTAGAGTGTAATGTAAGCTTAGAGTGGGACACGAATTGCGACATAAATGTCAGACATTATCTTCTGTACTGTTCACACTTCATGTCTCACTCACGAAATTTCATGTTTGAGTAGTTTCTGTATATAAATGTACGGAGATTGTGTATCCTTGTTCCACGTGAAACTCATTTTTAAGTACATCTTCTACGCGATGTATTGAAAATGTCGAGCCTGTTCGAAAACTATTCAACCACACTAGACACTTGGACACAATGTGTTCACACAGCCGTTGACACGACACTAATTATGGTGTCGCAATAAACGTCACAATTAGAGACGCGTCCACACAGACACTCGGTGTATACACTGAGTGTACCGTGTACAGTGTCTAGTCTAAACCGATCAATACTTATGCCAGTTGAAAATGGTAATGGTGACGATTACAAAAAATAAAATTGTTATTTTTTTAAATATAAATCTTTACATTTTCAATAATCTTGCAAAAACTCGCCTATATACGACTTTTTATGCAATTCTGGTATCGCGAAATGGTGTAGTTATTAGTAATAAAGTTATATTTACTTCAAAATAAATATATTTTTATTTTGAATCTTGCACTTAGTTATACTACCTGATATCTACATTATTTTCCTCACAGAATAGATGCGTAGGGGCATTTTCTGAGCTTATCACCTTATCTTACTTAAACGCACTACTACAAAATATTTTTATTGAATAAAAAAAATTCCATGGAAAATTTATAGCTCAAGCAACTGACAAAGCACTAACATTATCATAACACAATTGTGATACAATTCTTTCGCCTTGAACGTCTAACAATTCAAAATTGATATATCAGAATGTCCCTTGTTTAATAAATATGTTCTCTCTTAAGAAAATTAATGTAAATATTTTCGAGTTCTGATATAAACAATATGAAGTATGCTTGACATCTCATATGTGAATGCCAATTGAGTCATATGATACACATTAAGAGTTATTTTTTAAAGTATACCGATATAGTAAATAAAAACTTAAAAAAAAACGACTTCCAGGCACTAAAATGAAAAAAATAACTAAACGGGGGTTTCATTTAGAATAGAAACCTAATCAGATATTTTCGAAGTCGGTGCCAGTTAGAAAGAAAATAAGATATCACATTGAATAATGTTAAGCAACTAGTCTATTTCTACGCTAGGTCACCCTTGGTTTAGTTTTTATTATTTGTTCGTTGAACTTAAAATGAATATCCATACTTAATATTATAAATTCGAAACTGTGGTTGTTTGTTTGTTTGTCCTTATTTCAGGTCAAAACAGAGTGACGGATTTACAGACGGACGGAGAAAATTTCTTAAGGAAAGGAATATATATATATAGTTTAGAATAGATTAAAAGCATTTTAATGTGAAGAAAGCTGTGTTTCTAGCTACACGATAGTTTTCCATTACGTACATATCCTGTTCTCAAGCAGCGGTATTAATTCGAG